AATAAAGAAAAATGATTATACTTTAATATAATTATTAATTAACATACAGTTGATACTGGTAATGTTGGTTTTAAAGCAGGAATAAATTGATGAACCATATTTGTTGATGATGATGATGATGGATTTTGTGTTAATGGAGAAATTGTTGTAGGCATTGAATAAAGACCTGATGGAATTGTAATTGGTCGTTGTAATCGTATAATAGGTCGATTTTGTACAGGTGCATGAAGACCATGTAAAATAATTGGGCGTGTTATTGTTATAGGTGATGTTGGAAGTATAGATAAATTAGGAAATGATTGTGGTTTAGGAGGTATAGAAGATTGGGATTCTATTGAACGTTGCTACAATATTTTATCTAATTAGAAATGAAAATATTTAATAAACAAATCTTACACGTGCAATTTCATTTGCTTGTCGATTTGTTTCTGATAATTCTTTAAAAGCCATTGAAAATGGATCATCTTCATCTTGTACACCATCATCATCATTTTCATTGATAATTAAATCATTTGTATGTGAACTCATTCTTTTTATTTTTACAAGATATTTTATTTTTTTTTTGTCTATTGTCTAGAGAAAAAAATTGACTAGTTGTAGCAGATCTATCGTCTTGACAAAATGCATAAATCCAAATGTCATTCTATATACATATATATTTTTTCCGAGAAAAATGTCATTTAATGGCAATCAATGTCTCATCACACTCATATTTTAAGGACTATATCTAAAATATATATGTTTAGTAAAGTTATTGACATTTTCATGTACTTGATTCACAAATGACTGTTCTTGTTCTTACCAGTATTTATACTCTTTCTAAGAACCAATGATTAATGATTCTTATGCCATCTGTCTTTTCAAATGATTGGTTAGATTGAAAACTAATATTAGATTCATCCAGTTACATATCTTAAGTTCGAGAATTATTCAAATGTGTATTGTTTACGCAATTTTTCATTCATTATAACCATCTGCCTACATGAAATGAATCATCGCGGGAAAAATTTTTTGGTTGTCAAAACACAGAAACAATAATTTTTCTAAAGATTATTCGAATAAAATTTAACTTTGATAAAGAGATATAATTATTCAATATAATCAAAGAAATACTTCTTTTTCGTCATTAGACTTTCAAGAAAGAACATGTCAATGAATTTTTATACAAACGTTTTTTTTTTCATGAAAAGTATCGAATAATGACCTTTATAACTAAGAATTATCGGATAAAAATTAATTTTCATCTTTCTAAAGTTCTTGAATATTTTGTTTCTTTGCACAATCACTATCTTAACACACATTGAACAATCTAATTGAAAGTTAAATGGTTTATGAATATAAGTGAGGTTTACTGAAAATAATGTTACAATATTAACTAGAAAAAAAACAATATATCGTAACTTCGAGTTAACTCACGACTACTATAATGAAAAATATGAACATTCATGAACAGTGGAATGTGTAGGTTGGTAAGACTTGATCACACTCAAAACTGAAGTTGTTGGCTAGGCGAACCTTATTATCATGTGGAGATTGAAACTTTATATATATATATATTGCAATTAAGAAAAAATGAAAAACTGGAACCTCACTAAAGTCAATTAGCTATTTCGCCATGATTCTTATTTACACCTACTTGTATGTAAACTAGGCCAATCATAGAATCCTGTGCTCAAAAGACAAAGCTATTTACAACATTCGAACAGTTGTCGTCTCTTTCTACTTACTTTATTTTATTCAATGAAAATACAGCTCTAATAACAGTACAATATTTTCATAATATTCTTTATGTTAATCAGATAAAGAATGTTTCTTGTTCAGCATACTATCACTACCAATATTTAAAATTTTAATCAATAAATGTCGTTGAAATTATTCTTTGGATAAATTCTTGAAAACTTTACGAAAATTGCAAAAAGTCAAAACACTCTCATAGACGACTTGCATATTTTATTATTTGAACTATTGCTCCATTCTTTTTTAAAAGAATATGTAAAAAGTTTGCTTAGGATAATAAATAAATTCCCACTAAGCCTTCCACTCCTGGGAACATCAATTGGCGACTTGATATGCATTTTAAAAAAGCTTGCCTATGGAAGCATTATTCCACAGTTTCATATTTTCCAACTTCCTTGTCACCTTTACTTCCTATCAGAATAAAAAAACGAAATACCATCGGTTTTTTTCTCTATTACTTAACGTTTATTGGTTTTCTAGCCTGTCTCATTATGATTGTGACATCTGTTCTTATTAATGATTGGTCGGAATTCGTGCTCGAATCGAACCTGTGCATCGTGGATTGTATTCGAAATTAGTAAACATTTAGACATATATTAGATTTAATCCGTTTATTTTGACAAAAAAAAAACATGTCGGCATCAGTGGAGAATGCTACATTATCGCCATTATTAGATACAATTGATATTATTAATCAAACAAATGAAACAAATACAACACAAAAAGAGGTTTTTGTTGCACGTACAGATGGAATGTTATTATCATATTCATTTCTTCTAATTGCTGCACTTTTATGTGTTTATTTTGGTTCATATCGTTCAATAACACGTAAAGATAAACAAAAAACATCAGGTGAAAAACCTGATGTACTTACAGCTAAAGATGGTAATGAATTTCTAAATTTGATTATATATATATATATATATAAAACACAAAAGAATTTTTATTTTTTATTTTTTGTAGCGGCTATGTTTCCATTTATTGCAAGTGGATTTTTATTTGGTATTTATTTAGTTATATTACTTGTTTCAAAAGAATATATAACATTTGTTCTTAATATTTACTTTTTTCTTATTGGTATTGTTGCACTTTTTCGAGCATTACATCCAGTCTTGCTCAAAATTCGTTTACCTGTATTGGATAAAATTCGTGAAAGACAATTTCATATAACATTAACTGAAAATAAGCCATCAAATACAACGACAGAAACAACAACAACGACACCACCAACAACAACGACACCAACAACAGAAAAGGATTTAATGCATATAGATTTTAACTTTGATCTTATTGATGTAGGAGCTTTATTTTTTTGTGTTTTAATTGGTGTTTGGTATTTTCTCAAACGACATTGGATAGCAAATAATATATTTGGTATTGCTTTTTCAATTAATGCTATTGAAATTCTTCATTTTAATAAGTAAATAGAATTATTTATTATTTAAAAAACAAAAAAATTTTTTTTTCATTGAATTTGTTTTTTGTGTAATAGAGTTTTAAATGGAGTTGTTTTGCTTAGTGGTCTTTTTGTTTATGATATTTTTTGGGTTTTTGGAACAAATGGTAAATGAATTTTGTTTTGAGGTTTTTTTTATTTTATTTGATAAATTATTTGTTTATTTTAGTAATGATAACGGTTGCCAAATCATTTGACGCACCAATCAAATTACTTTTTCCACAAGACTTAATTGAGAATGGATTATTGGCTGCGAATAAATTTGCCATGCTTGGACTTGGTTTGTTTTTAAAAATTCAAATATATCGGTCACTTAAAATGAACGAGAATGAGCAAAACTTGATATTTCAATTATTAATATAGAAATGAGAGTTAGAAATGAAGAATCTGTTTGTTGGTTGAAAGGCAACACTTTCAGAAAAAAAAGTGATCTATTAGGAAAGCTTATCAGCCGTTAAGTCCTGACATTCACGATGACTTTCAGAAGTGCAAATGATTATATTTGGCAGACTGTCTTACAGAAAAAGTGATATCTTTCGGAAATCAGCAAGTATGATCTTCGCCGCAAACCAGTTATTTGCATTTCGACTACCGAAGCTATTAGCAACAATTTGAGATGATACCTGCAGTATTATATATATATGATAAATATTCAGAAAGAGTGACTGTAAGGAATGATCACCCAAACGAAACTCACGAATATAGATGATCGGAAAGCATTCGATAGCTAGTTAATATATTTACAAACGTAGCCAAAAATTGGAAAAGGCTAGCACTTCTAGCTCCTTCCTTATCAATACTTATGATAGTATCAAAAAAAAACAGGTGATAATTTATCTGATATTTTTATTGGCCAGAAGTTTTCTTTTTCTGCTTACTCCAGAGAAAGTTTGATAAATTCTGCTTCCTTCATGAAGTCATAGAAAATAGCATAATTGCCATGAACAAATGACTGAAGAATATAAATTTTCCTACAATCTAACAGTTCTATCTACAAACGAGCAATAAATTCAAAATTCATCGAATAAATCTTACAGTCCGACTAAAATTTTTAGAACTCATATTTACATACATTGCTATAGTCTTGTTTTAAAGAACAGAAAATATCCTTATAAAAAATTTTCAAATAATGACAATTTAAAATATCAAGTTTTCTTCATTTAATATATTCAACAAGAAACCGATATATGAATTCGTATATTTTATTTAATTTGTTTTTTTTTCTTTTCATTCTTTAGGTGATATTGTCGTTCCCGGTGCGTTTATTGCTTTATTACTTCGTTATGATATGACTCGTAAACAGGCTGGTAAAAAACCATCAACACTTTATTTTACTGTTTCATTTATTGCATATATAATTGCTTTGGTTATTACAATACTTATTCTTCAAATATTTAAACATGCTCAACCAGCCTTACTTTATATCGTACCATTATGTTTAGTATTTCCACTTGTAACAGCATTGATTTGTAAAGATTGGACAACAATGTTTGCTTATGAAGATCATACATCAGAAAAGAAAAATGAATAAAATCAACAATTCTCAATATCAATTCATTTATCTGTTGTTGATTTTTTGTTTCTTTGTTCTGTTGTCTTTTTGAATATTCTATTTATTGATGTTGTATTTCATTTAATAAGAAAAAAGAAAAAAAAAATAATTTTATCATCGTGCAATAGATCTGTATGACAATAAGAAAAAAAAAACCTATTTTAATGTTGTTTGTTTTGTTTTGTTTCGAAATACATTTAAACAAACTTCAATAATAGACAGAAAAACAATTTATTTTGCATTTATCCTTAGATTATGGGTACACGTTTTAGTACTCGTAATTTAATTCAATATACACAATCATTAATGACATTTATTTGTGGTAGTATATGTTTATTGCTACTTTCAATACTAACATATGTAACACTACGAAAACATTTACTACCAACATCACATCTTATTATGCCAATGTCTCTTGGTTTGCCGCCATCGTTTAATCTAAAAGATGATTTAATTTTTCTAAAATCATCAACGAATTTTCCATCATATCTTGTTAGTTATATTAATTTAAGTGATACAATATATGATCAATATCCACTTGATATATCATCGCATTCATATCGTGTTGAACTTCATTGTTATTCACCACGTTCATATAGAAATCGTCAACTTGGATCATTTTTTGTTCAATTAATATTAAATTCAACATCACATCAATTAATTATTGAACATTCACGTTTAATTTTATTTCCATATCAATCAGATATAATTCGTTTAATACGAACATTTCTTTTTTTACCATTATCAATATTTCGTATTGATTATGATCGATGGCATTTGAAAGAAATTTTAATTGAACGTTTAAATAATCAAGAAAAGTCAAAACGTTTTATTGAAATAATTCAGTTAAATATTATTCCATCGACATTTCAACTTGATCAATGTTCAATACATTTTGATATACGTGATTTAACCGGTCTTGTCTATTTCTTCATAAATTATCCGATATTAACTGGGTGTTTTTCGATAATTGCTTTATTTTCTATGTATATGACATTTTATTTGATTATAACCGGTTTAACTATGTTAAATCAAATGAGCAAAAGAGAATATTCTAAGAAAAAGGAATGATTATTTTCAGGTTTCATTATATCTTTTTTAGATAATAAATGTTAAAATGAATCAACATAAATGTAAAGGTTATTTAATTGATTCAACACATGGAAAATTACAAAAGAAAAAAGATGCTTTACTTGAATTTATATTTGCTGAAAATGCATTATGTTTAACAGTTAGTGCACAAAATGTGAATATAATTACATATACATTAAATAACAATACAATATCAAAAGTTATACTAAGTAGTGCTTTACTTGCTATTAATTTGATAGATAAAAAACAGATAAAAATATCAGGAATAGGAAAAAATAAATTATCTGAATTAAAAAATATTCTTGATTGTTTATTACATGAGGATTATACTGGTAAGAAAAAGACTAAAAAAAAATAAAAATCAATAAAGAAAATATTTTTCTTTAGCATATCAAACACTTGTAGAAAATTTTTGTAATAATTCATTTAATTCAAATAATATATCACGGAATGAACTATCTAAAATAAATCAGAGTACACATTCAATCCATAATGATTCAAGTTTATTATCAGATATAACAAGTAAAAAACAACCAAAAATTGATAAAATGAAACATACGAATCAATTTTTGGAGAACGATGAAAATTCACAACCGACTATGTTAAATACATCGAAAACAATTGAAAAGAAAAAGAATACTCTTTTAAGGTCAGTTTTTAATATATAATTGAATATTAAATTTTTAAACAATAGGACTTAAACTATAGAACGTAAAATATTGATTACTTTCGAGAAAAAAAATTAACCTTTAAAATAGTTTTTCTTCTAAGAACTTAGATAAGTCGTTTATAAATATATAATCTTTTTCTAAAACACGCATAAATATAGAAAAGAAAAGAAATCAGTGTTCACTTTTTTAAAAAGTTTTATAGATTTCAGGAAACTTTTAGCAGCTTTAATGAAACTTGAATTAACTCTTTATGATTACCTTTACTTTATAATCAGGTCCATTTTGTGAAAATGCATTAGAATTTTAATCTTTTTAATTTAAGTTTAATAGCTCCGTTATATATAGACATACTAAAATTTATTTCGATAATAAATAAAAGGAATAGAAAACCAAGATTATTTGAACATTGTTTCAGAATGTATTATTGAGATATAAATTGAAAAAAAGCATATAAAAGAATAATCAATATTTTTAAGAAAAACAAATCACCCAATGTTCATCGTTATCGATGATAACTTATAAGTCTATTTTCTTAAGAAACTATGAAAAGCTTAAAAAGACAGTTCAAATAACGGTGAAAATCACGCTTACTACGCGATAGCTATTATAGAATTCATACTCTGAATTTCTGCTTTTGAAACATATTCATAGAACTAAACAAGAGTTCGGCGCATATACTGTCGATAATCAATTCGAGAGGAGATGTAGTCCTCCTAAAAGACAAGTACACACATGATGAGAAGCATAAATTCTACAATTGAATAAAAATCCTTGACACAGCTAAGACGATCCTTGTTCTTGTCATATGTGCTTCGGTTATTTACCTAAGTCTATGCACTGTTTCCACCCCTATCTGATGAACAAAGAAACGATCTTTTACATTTCTATTATACATGTGTTCATCGAATGATGTTTTGCAGAGTGGAACAAAAAAGGTTTTTTGCCTACGCATTCTATAAAATCTGTCTAGAAACAAGCCTAAATGAATTTAGAAAGACTTGGTCTCCAGAAGTGTTTAACGTGAGATGTTGAACACGATCCAAGAGACTCGTAGATTATACAGCAATAATGCAAAACGGCTATTAATTGGCTTTCTTCGGTCCCCTATTATGATTTGAAGGTGTTGCTACTTCAGGATTTTCTCGAAACATTTTATTTCAATGAGTAAAGAAAAAACGGATGTCATATCTTATATGTAAACATAAAAGTAATGTAACAGTAAGATAAAACGTAAAGTCTTCAACCAAATAGTTACTCCTCTTTCTCCATTTAATGTTTTATGTTAATCATATTGTTTTTGTTTCTTTTGATTTTTTCTTCGTATTGTAGGTTCGTTCTTCATTTCTACACACTTTCTCTTATTCTTCATAATATTTTTTCTAACACTTGTACTGACAGGATCTATGAGATCAACATGATGGCAAAATAAAAATTAAAACAAATGACAACTCTTAATCTTCATAAATCTACAACTGAAAAAATAAACACAGTATCCAAATATGTCGAATTTCACTGTTCACAATGAAGTCTAGCTTGTGCACTCACTTAAAGATATTCCCTCTCTTTTTCGTTGACCATTTCCGGCCTTTGGAGAGAGCCAAAGCGGTCCGCATGAAATTTTAACGTCGGACAGAGCACCTAAAATAAGGGGACACGTGTTCCAGGAAAAAAATTTTAAATATGGTTTTCGTGTTTTTTCAGAAAACCCTCATTTTCCGTACCACCACATCGGGCCTACTTACGACCCACATCTAACTTTGTCCGATCGAGTTGAAATTTCGACCGCAAGTACTTGTAAGTATTCGTCAGAAATAGAATTGTCTATTTTCGTTTCTGACCTTCCTATCGGGATTTACAGAGTCTCAAACGCCAGCATCTAGGTTGTAGATCTTAATCTTTACATATTTCTCTCATGTAAACAAAAAAAAGAACACGAGATTTTTGAAAAAAGCTTACAACCATTTTTTGATGTGATCCTATGAAAAATCAGGGTTTCTCTAAAAAATCACAAGAACATTGTTTATATTTCAGTGCTTCGAATTTTTATCCTCATTCACAAGATGATCATCATCATAATTCAATTGATGAAAATATTGATCATACTACACAGGTTCAACAACAATCGTATGTTAATATTAATGATTATTATTTATCATTGACAAATTTTTTTTTTTGTTTTTTTTTTCTGAACATTTTTAGACGAAAACGGACAAGTGAAAATCAATTTTCAACTTCATCAATTCGTTTTCAACATGCAACAAATACAACATCACCTTATTTCTCTCATAAAACAGATTATAAAATAAAACGAAATACATCTAATGGTGAATCACGAATTAGTCTATTATCAAATATTTATTCTAAACCACTTAATAATAATACACGTTTTCGAAATAATGATGATGATGATAATGAAGAATATTTATATAATTGCCATGATTCACCATATACAACAAAAAAACTTGATAATCAATCATCAACTGATATATCATTATCAAAAGCAGTTACAACAACAATGAATTTACGAAAAAAAGGGTAAGAGAAAAAACAAAATTTTATTTTTCTGTTATTTAAACAAGAAAATTTATATGATGATTTTTGTTTTTAAGTTTAAAAAATATTGGTGCAACTTGTTATATGAATTCTATACTTCAATGTTTATTAAATATTGATCCGTTTCGTTATGATTTAATGGTTACAAATTCTGAATTAATAACATCATCATTACTTGAAGAAAATACAATTTATCTGTAAAATAATTTTTTTCTTTTTCTTTTTTATTATTCATCTATCACACGAAAAATTTTTAAAAAATGTGTTTTTTTTTTTTCTTTCATAGTTGTGTTTTAAAAATTCTTGCACTTTTACAGGATCGTCAATCAACACAATCGCAACATAGTACGACAACTCAGTTAACAGATGATGAACGAACAGTTGAATCACAAGCATTAATTAATTTAAAAAAAGCCGTTGAAAAACATTCAGGCAATTTTCTTGGTTCACGTCAACAAGTAAGATATAAATTAATGTCGATGAGATAGACGAGTATGTTTAGATTTCGATTGAATAGACATAGTTACACGTTGAAATGAATAATGTCGATCAGATTTCCAACCTATCCATATAATTCCCGTATTGAATGGAACAAGTCCATCGGAGTGTGTTGGAAATCGACCATTAAGATGTACATATGCACATTCTGTACCAGAATGATACCACCATCCGCCTCCCCCATGAGTTTTTGGACAATTTGTATTAGTGACATAATAATCATAAGTAGAAAAACGAGCATTATAATGCCAACGAGTAAAACCTATTAAAAAATAAGATAAAATTCAATGATCCGTACTAATTAAATAATTTCCTTATATTTCTCTTTTGGAATTATATAAAATTCTAAAAAAATTATATTTTCTGAAAAATTTTCTTACTATCCATTCTTTTTGATCCTTCTATATCACCATGATATCCACCAATTTGTATTCGATAACTATCTTTTTGATTAGCAATATGAAATATTTCATATATTGCTTGTCGAGTTTCATTATACCAATCAGTTAATTCTATTTTTAATCTACATGAATAAGTACTTGTTAACCAATGAAGATTTTCATTACCAATCCAAAAATCACTTTGATTAAGAACATTACCAAAACCTCGTCGATATTCAATCCATGTTCGATTAAAATCAACAGAATTTGTTTGTCGATTTTGAATAATTAACCATTGAGGATGTTTATCATTATGACAAAAAACATTATCTAATATTTCTCTTAATCCAACTTGTATTTGTAAACACTGTGTTGTTCGATTTCGTTTTGGATATGGAAGATTTTGACATGAACAATCAGCATTATTTTCAGAATGAGATACACTTTGAAAATAAAAAAAAAAGAATAATAATAGACACTTATGAGACAAGGATTTGAGGAAATTTGATTTTATACATTCGAGAGTATACATTTGACTGACAATAATGAAATAATATGTGTTTTTCTCATAGAAGTGTTGAATAGAGAAATGAATTCTTTTTTTCTTCTAATCCTCATTGATACAAGACAAGTCATTATTTAAATGTACGAGACAATCAGATTCTTAATTTTATATTTTGTTTTCATTAAAATGAATGCACCAGAATGATATATTTAGCTTAAAAAAGAAACTTACTGTTGACAATTAACTAAACGACGTTGAAGTGTTTCATGAAGAGTCAAATTATCGTTTGAACTTAAGGCAAGAAAGATTTTTTCTTGTTTATTAGTAAATTGTTCAAGTCTTATATAAATAATTGTAATGATAATAACATAGAAAAGTAAATGAATTAAAAGAAAACAGCACCGTTCAATAGTTTTATTTGATGGCATTCGTGTTAGTCTTTGAACATTTAAAAAAGACAATTTTGCATGATTGCTTTTTGTTCTTGTTGATGATGATGTTGCTGTTGTTGTAGGTAACATATCGAGACGATTAATAACTATTTGAATATCAGTATTTGGTTTTAACGGACTAGAATTAAGACGCTTGAGTTGTTCTTCTTTGAACATTGTTCATGTGTATAAAACACTTTTTCCTTATATATAAATGTGAACATGTTCATTCTTTATTGTCGGTTTTAGCTCGTTGAAGGTAAAAAAGTATGCTAGCGCTAAGAAAGAAAAAAAGAAAACGAGCAAGCGGGAAGGAAGAACGACCGAAGTAACACGCAATTAGATAACCTCAGGCATTATTATTGGCGTCGAAAAAAATGAACAATATTATTTAATCGTTTGTTTAGATTTACTAGTAGATTTTTTTTTCAACATTTTAACAAAGAAAAACAACGAATGCTATTGTTATTTTGATCGAATCAACAAAAATAAAATAATATTTTTGTTTTTTTATCTTGTTCTAGGATTCACATGAATTTCTTAATCTTGTTATATCATTGATAACTGATGAAATTGATGCTATTAAAATTCAAATAAATGAACAATCATTATTATTTAATCATATAATAGTCGATCCAACAACAAATAATTTTCAATTTGGTTTATCTACTGAACGTTGTTGTGAAATGTATGTAAGAAAAAAAATTTTACTTTCCTTAAAAGTAATATTCTCTTGAACTTAAAAATAACTGATATTCATATTCTCAAGTGTTGTCAAAGTAACTATTTTCCAGGACTCATCATAATATTGTTAAAACACCTTTTCTTTTCCTTTCTCACAAACAAAAGTCTTTTTTCCGAAAAGAAAGAAAAGAAATCATCAAGCTGAACAATCAAAAAATTCCTCAAGGTTACTTTACGGATATTATATTTCCTTTTGAATAGCTGTGGTATGTCAACAATCACAACAGAAATTCATACAGCCTTACTTATTCATGTAACAGATGAAGAATCTAACACAGCTAAAAATAATTCGTTAACTGATTTACTTGAAAATTATTTTGCATCTGAATCCATGGATGGTTGTTATTGTGATAATTGTCAATCAAATCAAAGAAAATATATTAAATATAATCTTGAAAGATTACCTCGGTAATATAAAAATAAAAGAAAAAGAAAAATGTCGAGATTTAATTGAAATTCAATTTTTTCTTTTGTATGTCTAGTATATTTATTTTTTATTTAAAACGATGGCATATAACAAAAAATTCTAATGGAGAACTTCAATCAGTATCAAAAGAAGATCATCCAATTGATTGTTCAATTGAAATAAATGTTTATCCATTTTGTTCATCAAACACTTATGAACCACCGATGATAAATTATTTAGATGAATTACCTAATTTAAAAGATTTACTTAAACAACGTGAACAGATTTTGAATATAATCGAACCAAAACGAGCTAAAATTGAACAAAATGATTCAGAAAAAATAATAAGAAAACCAAAAGTTAGTTAGAATTTATAACAATCTAAGAATATATTAATATATTCATTTTAATAACAACCAAGAAATAATATTTATGAACGAATAGAATTTTATTTTTCTTAGGAAATAAACAGAGAAGAGAATATTATTGCTACTCATGCTAAGTATCGTCTTTTTGCTGTTATTAATCATCATGGTGGTTCAAGTGACGTTGGTAAAAACAAAGACAAAAAAATTTCATTTTTTTTTTTAATATAAATATTTTTTTTAGGACACTATACATCAACAGTATATGACGCTAAAGGTGATACATGGTGGACATATGATGATACATCAGTTGCATCATGTACTGAACAACGTGTTTTAAAAGATTTAGCTCCTGACGCTTATGGTGTTATGTATATGCATAAGTACGTCAACAAGTCATTTAAGCGTCCTCCTTGTTTTTCACGATGTAAATTTTTTTTGTGGCCGTTATATAGGCTAAAGTAGTATCTATCTAATGAGTACATCTTGGGATAGAAAGATTGTTTTTAAACGTTAAAAAATCAAATTAGCGACAACCATGCATTGCTTCGCGTTATTTTCAAATCAACTTTTTATGAGAGAAAAATACAGAAATGCCTCCGTTTCTCTTATATCGTTCTACTGATTTTTGGTAGCTCTATTCAAAAAATCTTGCATTTTTTTAGAGTGCTTTCGACCTTTTGGTAGAACAAAAAACTAAAAAGATACCCAACCCAAACAGTGTCGAATGCCTGTAAAAAAAATTTCCAGCTCGATTGAACATAACATCTTGAAGAACTGGCGGGAGCGGGGGGGGGGGGGGGAACGGAGAGTTATTGTGATCCCAATATCACATAGAAGGTAGCATCCAGGATGGTAACTTTTTTTTACTCGTCAAGATGTACTTGCCCTGAAAATTTCAAATTTTATAAACGATTCGTTCTCCAGAAACTCCGAAAACGTGCGATACCCTTAATTATTATTCATAATTTTTTCTTTGTATTTTATAGAGATATTGTAAAGTTATTTCAGCCCGTGATTAACAATTCAATGCAGTGAAACTGACATTTTTTCTTTTTTTTTCTTTTCTATGTACAAACCTTTCATGGTAAATCTCGCATTTGATAGCATTTCTCTAGTTTTCGGTGAATGGACACCGACCGTGTTCTTTCTATATATTTTTTTTTCGTTGTTGTTATATTCATATGTATGAAAGAAAACAAAAAAACAAATTGACAATATGTTCTATGTTAATTCTCTCTTTTTTTTTCAAGATAAAATAAAAATGAAGTCTTTAAGTTTATCAATTTATTTATAATAATGTCTACAAGTGAAAATTAGGATTGAATGATCAAACATATTTAGTTATAAATGAAAGAATATTTTTTTTATTATTCCATAGAGACATGTTAGACCAAGAATATAATGATAAATTATTTAAATAATAGTTCTTTGTGCTCTGATAAAGAAAACTAAATTAATGTCAACAAAAAGCCAACATAGTTTTCTCTTAAGATTAATCAGGTTTTCATGACTATGTTAAAAGAAAAATATTTTCTTATTATTTTTATTAGAAAGGATATTTTGAACGAACCTTTTGGAAACCTAATATGTATATATATATATATACGTTCCGTTTTGAATCAACTCGTAATTAATTTGCGCATCTCTCTTATAATGCTGTTATGATTTGTGGTAGCACACAGACTGTTAATCTGTTACATTACCCATCCGTATTATGAGCATGTGAGTGTAGCTAAAGAGAAGACTTACGCTCATCCACTCTCTCAAGATTATCATTCTCTGAAATACTTTTAGACGTTTTGTAAAATAGATATGAATAAATATATCCTATTAGGATTTCGAAAATTTCCTTTATTTTCTTAAAAGTAATTCTGTTCTCAAGTGGTTAAACATTTGAAACTAGTATTATGAAATATTTAAAATTTATAATTTACGAAAGTAATAAAAATATAAGGCAAAATGGAAAATGATGTTTATATAAGGGTAGTCCATACGTAGCTTTACGAGAAAAAAACTTGAATAGTTCCACTCTGTTCCACTCTATAGAACTAATTTTTTCCCTGTGATAGAGGAACCTTCAGAGTTTTTTTCCGTAAGAACTTTATGGTCTCGCAGATAAGGTTCTCAGCGGGTACGACGTTTAACAATCAGATCCGAATCAGAGCTAATCGACATTCGACAGATACTTTCACAGTCATAGAACGATATTCAAACTTATATTTTATATGAAAAAGTATACTATTTAGTTGCTTCCATAAATAGCAACAAAAACAAAAGAGATCATCTTAAATTCCACAAAAAACTAACTAATTCAGGATTTATTTGATGTCTTTAAGCTTCTTAAATCTGATCGTTTTACTAAGTATACATTTTCTTGTTGCTGATGACATTGGAATGGAATGCAATGTGTTGATGCCAAATGTCATAAGTGTGGATACATACATAGATACTTTTTCTATTGCGATAATACATGTTCATCTGTTGCATAATTTATTTTCCTCTTTATATATTTAGTTACTTAGTGATATAGTTCATCATCGGCTGTAGGTGAATTTTCATTAAAAACGAATTCTTTCAGTAAAACAGTATTGTTTCGATCTTTGCGACCTATTCTCAATAGGAGTTTGAAAAAGTAGCAATATTTTGAAACATTGAAATCTCATTAATTGCTGGATCAGGTGTCGGATACCCTACTTGATTGTAGGACGCTACTTATAGGTCATAATATAAGTCTAAAATTTCGAAGTATATTTTTTCGAAACCTCTATAAAAACAAGCACCAGCAAGGATAATAAAAGTAACCCTGGCTGTCACGTTATTGTACTTAAGAAAAGACAAATATCTATATCGATGTTGAGAGAGAAAAAAAAAACATCATGCATTACACAACAAATCATGAAGGACGAATGTATGGACATGCGAATCTGTTAGAGTAATATTTAGTAATGTAAAACATAGAAATTCATTATTGATGTCAATGATGATACTTCAAAGTAATATTTATAAATGTTGTTTTTATAGAAAAAAGCTCTGAAGTCTCCTCTATCGCAGAAAAAAAATTACCCCCGTACAGTGGAACAGAGTGTAGATATTCAAATGTGTTATCGTAAAGCTACTTAAGGGTCCACTCGATGTAATTGATTTCGAGAGGTCCTTTTCTTTATTGATGGGCATGTTTAATAAAATTTTGCTTTTTTTTTGTTACAAAACTACTCGATTTTATTCTTGCTGAGACACTTTACATATTAAATAATCATCTTTACACAAAAGAATGTCGTCTTTATGTTTGAGTAATAAAATATAAATTCTAAAGATTCCATATTTATATGTTAAGTGCCTGTTGATCTTATCTAGAGAGAGTAAACTCAAACTTGACAAGATATATTAATATGCGTTTTGATACTTTAAATGTTTTATTATTAATAACTGCCTTCTTCATGTTTTATAACAGTGCTATTAACATAAGAATGTGATGATCAAATATTCACACTTGACCATAAAATTATATTTTCTGATAAAATAGATTAACAAAAAGCATTTTGTTTCAATGGTTTATTTGTCACTTATTCTAAGTCACTAGTTACACAAATAATCATTCTAGACGTTTGCTCACTTGAGATCTTCTAGAAAATATCAAAAGCTATGAGTTCTGATATTCTTTTCGAATATGAGATTAGAAATTTTGTTTCAGCTGTTGTTCGAGAATAGTGAAATCATTTTTAAAAGTTTCAAAAATTTAGTTTGGACGGAACTTGTGAGCTGACGTTTTCGGTGAACATGTTTGCTCATTTTGGCCTGCTTGAAAGATATTTTAGATGAGCCAAAGAATATAGATCGCGACTAGAATTTGAATATGGGCATAGAAATGTTGTATCTATTTTTATGGGATGTTTTGAAAGACTTGAAAAATTATTGTTAATGGTGAGCAAACAGGTTTTTGTTTACCGTATAAGTTTTCTTTCGAATATGCCAAAAAATTGTCGGAGTCAGTCGTTTTGCACAGCGAACACTTCTTTACAAAATGTTGTATTGAGCTGAACTGTAATTTTGACTCAAGCGTTGCTTCAAGAGTTCCTTTCAACATAAAATAGTTGTCGATTTTTCAAAAATGAGTATTTGGCAAAAACAAAAATTGAGGTGCGTTGTTAACCCTTTAAGTACCGGATTATTTTTATATAATAAAACTTTTTATAATTTCAAACTAACGTTTATTTCGCAAAAAATATCACAAAGTACATGAATTAAAATGCTGGTAGAGTGTGATAGTCTTTAAAACGATCCATAAGACACAATTCTACATCACATTCAATGCATTCATACGAAGTATCTCTTCTCACAGTATTGGCACAAACGTAACGTTTTCTTCTTGGATTTAGTTGAGTCTCTGTTGATTCAATGTGCGAAGGAAACTGTTATCAAATGTGATCAATTGATCAGAATCTTTACTATAGATAACACTCTTGAATGACTGTGTTAATATGAAAAATCCCGTTGATAACGATTATTCTTTCTTGGGAAATGTTGTCCAATGACTTATGTTCTAATTCATTGAATCATATAGTGGTCGATAGAAATATTAGGGAGCAACCAATATTCATCACTAGGTACAGATAGTCTTAACCGTGCAAATATCCTAAATGCAAATATTCATGTAATTCATATCATAAAATAATCAAACGATCATGTTTTCTAAAGTTATTCAGACCCTAAACTATCAGGACGCGAATTCGTGTCGCCGGTACTCAAAGGGTTAAAGGACAAAAAAAACTTGAAATAGTGCATTTTTTAGGATAACTTCTGATCTACAAGCTGATATATAAATAAAGATCCCAACTTGTAGTTTCAAATAGAAATAATGAATATAAAAATACCTTTCCGTCCAGACTAATTTTTTTGGCCTCTGAAAGACTATTTCACTACTTTCGAACAAAAACTCAGAGAAAATTTCTAATGTGGGAATCAACTGAACTGGTACCCACAGTTTGGGCTTATATTTGGTTCACAAAGACGTCGCATTAAGACTAGAAAAATTCTAAAAGGGTTCGTGATCATGAACCTGTGGAGCCGAATTATGAGCGTTTTACTAAATTTTCGATTCCGCTTTAGGTATTTATCGAAAAATCAAATAACGATGTTTCGATCTGAAATTTCGCTCATAAACAGTTTGAATAATTAGTAGAATATCCTGAACGTTTTAGCCGAAAAGAATGTTTCTTTGTCGAGATATTGAATTTTCCAGTAAACTCGATTTCTGTAGAAAGGGACCATTTTTTGGATATTCAATATGTCGATAAAGGAACGTTCTTTTTTCGGCTGAAACTTTCAGAATACTCTCATAGTCACCAGATCTATCTATGAATAAAATTTCAGATCGAAATTCCATTATATGATTTTTTGGGTAAAAACCTAAAGCTGGATCGAAAATTCAGTGAAACGGTCATAACTCGGCTCCAGAAAGCTATAGATCCGAACCCTTTCAGGATTTTTCTAGTCGTACCAAGACCTTCTTATGAACCCAGCACGAGCTCAAATAGCGGGTCTCAACTCGAGTAGTTCCCACGTAAGCCTATATTCGAAAAGAGCACAAAATCATAGGTTTTGATTCGTCGAAAATACTTTCTAACGAGTCAAAAGTGAAGAAATATCTTGTCTAAAAACTTTCCGATCATCTATTGTTCTAAAAAAATACACAGAAAGCTTAATCATCGCAACCATTCTTCAGATATTCACTTTAAGATTATTCATATATCAATTCATAAAAACACATTATATCTTCAATTGTACATTGTCAATTTATTGATTAGATAAGACAAAAAGAAACAAAGATAAACTAAATTTAATTCAACTTATAAAATATCTATTAGTTATAAAAAAAACGTATCAAAATTGTCTTTCACTTATAAATCAAAAGAAGTATATATATTCAAGGTGATTTAAAAGTAACTCCCTATTTTAAATTCTTTATTACTCTCAAACAACAAAACATATCGTCCTGATTTTTTTACCATTTTAAAGCATGGACTATGGCATTTTGTTCTAGATGAAAAAAAGTCGGTTGATTGTTTGACTGTCTAAGATCAAACCAGAATTTTGTCTTGACAATATCTGGAAACTCTCATTATTCTTAGTAGTTTATTATTCTTGTACTAGAAATCATGATGTGGGTGTGTATTTGAAGTTGTGATGTGTGTCTGGACAATGCAAAAATTTTCACTCAAATCCACACACTCACATCTTGGCTTTAGTACAAGAATAATAAACTACTAAAAATAATGAGAGTTTTCAGATATTGTCAAGATAAAATTCTGGTTTGATCTTAGAAAGCAAAACAATCAATCGACTTTTTTTTCATCTAGAACAAAATGCCATAGTCCATGCTTCAAAATGGTAAAAAAATCAGGACGATATGTTTTGTTGTTTGAGAGTAATAAAGAATTTAAAATAGGGAGTTACTTTTCAATCACTCTGTATATCATTATGAAATATTCATATGTTTATATTATACATCAGAACCATCATGAATTTTGCGATACAATAATTCATCAAGTATTTCAGCAACAATAAGTGTATTTGCATTAGCTTCTATAATCCATAAAGCAAATATATTATCCATAGGAAAATATCGAAGAAAATGTCGAAATTGTCCTTCATTTGATACACGACTTTTAACAATTAAATCTAAATGTTGAACAATAAAAACATTACGTGAATGACGCACAAACAATCGATAAATTAAACGTAAGCTATCAATTATTGTTATTATTAATAATAACCAAAACCATAACCAAAGAATAAAATACATTTTTTCAATAAATATATTTATAACAAGTATACATTCAACTGTATAATAATGACGTTCACCTAATTCACGTATATGAAAATCACATAATGTTATACGTGGAAACAATTTACTTTCTGGTAATGAAAAACCAGAAAATAATGCTCCTAATGCATTAAGACCATATTGTAAATAATTTACATCATGATAACTAAGAAAATATTGTAGAAAAAATATTTGTAATATTAAATTGATTATATAAAGAAATTTAATAAAAAAGTAAAAGCAAACAAGTGATGCGCCTGTACGAGCTTGACAAAATAAACGACATTGATGATTCATACGTTGAACAGCAGATGATTTATCACGTTTTGGAGGATTGACATACTCATCATATCGTTGTAGACAGTCAGAAATATATTGCACAACTAATCATATCAATAACAGATAAAATTTTCATCATAATATATATATATGTAATATGATACTACCTGAGCTACGATCGTCATCATGATCAAATGATTCATATTTATTTGCTGCATCAACTAAATTTTCAAGTGATAAACCAATTTTATCATTAAATGATTGCCATATAATACGTGGTAAACTAAAAAAAAGAGCTTGCAATAAAAGAACAAAATTAATCCATTGATAATATTTAAGTGTTCGTTCACGTCGTAAATTATAATCTTGTGGAATTGATTGATGTTTTGGTACATGATATGTATTTTGTATATAACATAAACGATTGGTAAAAGTTTCATATGCTGAAGTAAATTGAGCAGGAACCCAACATTCTAATGGATCACCTAAAAATAATAAATGAATTATCTTTATTATTTTCTAATTTCATATATTTGTTTGCATCTTACCAGCATATTGATATGTTGAAATAGCAATACAAAAGCATACTAAAATAGCAACTGTATATCGATTGTGAAGTCTATCAACAGGTAAATCATCGTAATGGTTTTCATCCTTTTTTCCTCCAGCAAATCGTTTAGCGTTATCGATAACTTCAGTAAAATCCATTGATAAAAATCAATATTATTCTTTTTATTCATATGTCATATCGTTGATCTGAAAGAAATAACGTATGCCATTTCATTAGCAAGCAGACACACATACGCATATATATATATATATATATATATGTATATATGTATACAAGAAAAACAAGAACGAGTTTTGTAAAAAAAAAAAAAAAAGGTTATCCCATATACACAGCTTGTCACCATCATCATGTTATGATGTAATCGGCATGGCAGTTAGATCCGACAACGACACAGCTGTTTATACTATTCGAAGAACGACCATGAAATTGTATGAGCATTATTTATATAGTTATAAATCAAAATGAAAAGAGTTAGAAAAAACATATTGAGGGTTTACTTGTAAAAAAAAGATTTTTTATTGTATTTTAACATCAAAAGAAATTCATTAATATACTTACGGGGGAATAGTCATAACCATAATATAGAGCATCGTTCGTTTTTTTTTTCTAGTTACCTGTGAAAAAGAAATATATGAAAAGAAAGAAAAAAAAAATAGATGAATGGTACAGAATAAATAAAAGAGATGTGATCCAATACCTTGGCGTACGAACGTAATGCACAGAAATCAAGTAAAATGGTCACGCATTTACTTGCATACAAAGGAAACGAAAAAAAAATATTAATGCACAGAAAAAAAAAAGAACGCAAAAGAACAGAATACAGTAAGAATGAATCTAATTTTAGGCCAACTTTGCTTCTTCGCTTACAATAAAAGTACTAGATCGATTTATTTTATGCATTCATTAGTTTTGCCGCTAGGAATAATTAGTGAAGAACAGAATAAAAGAAAGAACATGCACTTCTTATATCGAACCAATTATCGCAAAGAAAATAAGGCGATTATTTGATTTTGCGAAGGTCACTAACTTGAAAAAAAAAGCGATGATATATCTTTACAAATCTATTTATCATTTAAAAAAACAAATTACTAAAATATTTCGATATGAATACACCGATTGATCAAATCTCTATTTATACTATATTGGCAATCTTTACAAAAAATTAGTTTTTGCATCAAGGATTAGAATTAGAAAAAAAAACGCAACGATAATTATATCACTTCATCACATATCATGATATATAATCTCTTAACAAATTTCATTGATATATATATAATAAACAAATGATAAATAGGTTTTTTTCTTTTCTTTTTGAAAGGTCATAGAAGCTTAACTAATCAAAGGATATAGCAGCTGCTTTATATCTCAATGTACGTGATCTAGAAGAACTGACATCATTTCTGATAAATAAGATAACTTCTTAAACGTTACAAAAATATTCATTGTATGATTTCGAATATTATTCAAATTTTCAAAACATGAAAATTCTCAGATTCTTCTCTGCTTATATGAATCATTTCTGGCAAAATGGAACATATCCATCCTTCAATTAACCTTGATATAGCACAAAGATTAATTTGCTGAATAAATTTTTTTAACATACATATATGTAAAAATATTAGCTCTTTCAGCTGACTATTAATAAAAAAGTAACTAGCAAATATCTATCTAACTATAGAAGAAAAAGAAATTTGAAAACTTTAAGATAGACTCTACGGTACAAATCGCATATATGGTAGAATGTTCAACAAGATCGAACTCAAAAAATCTTCCCCTTAAAAACCGGTTTTCTAGATATCCTATCAAGTTCAAAAACAAAATTTTTCTCTTTATTATCATCTGGAGATTCTGAAGAAGGATTTGTACCGTTTGGAATTGGTTTTGAATTTCTCATTCGATTATAAGAGGATTTCTTTGTTTGTAGATTTGCCGACAGTCATGTGGATAACGGAAAGTAAATCGATTTTTTTGAAAAATCTAGGTATATTCAGAAAAAACTTTGGATAGAGATTTTGTAACCTTAGAAGTTCTCTACAAAATATACTATTGAGTTATCAAAAGTGATGTTTCAATTCGAAATTTTTTTTTAACTAAAATACATGAAGTAAAAGTCAATACCGTTTGTTTTGTGTCACATCCTTAATGCTGGTTTTTTACTGATAACTCTTCTGAACAATGGTTTCTAGTGCTGATTTTTTCAGGATATCAAGAGTAACTTAGCATAAAATATACTTAAAAATTTAAGTATTAATAAACTTTCTACAATAAATGTTTTGTTTCCACTTCGTTTTTCTTAATACATTTATTACAAAGAAATAAGATGAATTATACTTTTAAGACAGTGCGTTAGCTGAAAATTTTCTCGTAAAATGTTTATTTACTTGTGGTTCTTTGAGTGTTTTCGATGAGTCAAATACTATCAGCTTAGACATTTTGTTTCAATTTTTGCTCAGAATTATTGAAATAATTTTTGAAAGATTCAAAAAAAATACTTTGTATGGAAAATTTTTCTACGCATTAATTTTTACTAGTTTCACTATTGCAACTCGAAAGTAAAAGTTTGAACTTTTATTAATATATCAGCTTATAGAGCAGAAACTACTCGACGAAATGTACTCTTTATATTTCATTTTCGTTTTTCGACATAGCATTTCAATTTTCATTTTTTTTAAACTCTCATTTTTTTTAAAAATCGACGTTCGATATAGAAAGAGGCTTTTGATCAAATGACTAGGACTTTGAGTTCAATAAAATATTTTGTAAAGAATCATCTATTCGACAAAACGATTAACTTCGATAATTTTTAATATCTTCGAAATGTGACTTATAGGGGTTAGCATAAGCCTGCTAGTTTACCATTCACATAGAGACAAGCCTCAATAAAAGTAGTTTTTATGAATCTTTCAGATCTTGTCGCTGTTCCTATCGTAAGATACGACGATGATAATAGTGTGTCTTTTACATTATTCATATAAATCGACAAATTTGATGTTCTTATATCAGGATAGAAGAAAAACAAAAGACCTCAAAAAAATCAGGTTTTCTGTTATCACGACATTCATTTAAAAAATACACTAAAAATGCATTATCTTCGCAGTGATCAACTAAAGATATGAACTCTTTTCAGACTATTCACAGCTCATTTAAATCTACATAATGTACATAACCTCAACTCAAAAGCAAATTGGAAACTTTCCTCATAAGCTCACACTCAATAATTGCACTAAATTCTTCTCTTAATCTATAGCTCTTAGCTCGTTTAAAATACTCTCAAGAAAATAAAAAATAAATAAAGATGTAATCTTAAAACTTTCCATTTACCCTTTATTTAATAATGCTCATTAGAAATAATTCAAAATTTATTAATCATTTTCATTATAGGCTGCAAATTATTTATTATTTCGAAAAATGATTATGAACAATTTCATGTGTTAAAGATAAATCGAGTTTTTATTTCATATGATTGTATTATTTATCTATGCACTTCATCGCGATCGTTATCATTTTTTTCAATAAGAAAAAAAGAAATGGTTTCTATCAATTTCCATTTGATTTATTGCAGTAGTGACATATCATATTCTGTTAGTCTATGTAGTTATATTGACATGAATCATAAAATCATTTATTTTAAATAAAGACCTTTCTTTCATGATTTTCAAAAAAAAAAGCGCGACTTTTTGTTTTTTTCATATTTTATGTGAATAATTCATTCAATTTAATCTTTGTATTAGCTATCATATTGAATACCTTTTATTTAGATATAAAATCACCGGGTTTTTTTTTCGATAATGAGATATCTACAATATTAAATCCCTTCTAATATTACTTTCTTGAGAAATTACGTTGAAACGGAATTTTCCCAGAATAATATATATTAATTAAGAGACATTCCTAGCTATACTTATAGATATGAGAGATTTGCTGCCTTTGAAAAAATGGAGAACGCTATTTAAATGAATAGCATCATTGTAATACATTGTGATGGGCATTAATCAACGAAGACTAATCGGATAGATACTTTGGATATAAATATAAAAAAAGATCCTTGTAACCTCGAAGAAACATGCAACAATTGCAATATGTTGTCTGCTGAATAAATAACTCCAATATATTATATTTTTTCTCCAGTGAGTATCTTTGAGCTCTCATAGGTTCAAAAGGTTATTGAAATTTAATTGATACATTCAGCTGAAAATCAATGTTTGATTCAATATGTAAACAGTATATCAACATAATGAATTAATATTAGAACATAGGATAAAATTTCATTGATTTGGATACGAATAAAATTCTTCTAAATAATTCTATGAAAAACAAATCGAAAAAATTATTGCTTATTAATAATCCAATAGAATTCTTTGATTCGATGAGTAATTTCAAAGAAGAACAAAACTGATTTCTATGCTAGAAATCATTTTAACATCTTAGAGATATGAATCATGACTGGAAATGGTTCAAAATCATCAGAAACCATTAGAAATCAATGGAAGTTACTCTAAATCATAGAAAACTTGCAGTAATAAAATTAAAAATAAAGACTTAATTTCTATTGTTTTTGTTTCATTTCTTAGAGAAATCAGTTTGTTCTTCCGTGAATAATTTGCAAGTCGTTAGTAATGAACTTCAATAATAATTATAATGAAAACTCAACATAAAGTATCATATCTTAAATCATTAATCTAATTCAATCAGTAATTTATTTAATTTTATTCATTTTTTTTTCATCATGAAAAGATGTTATTAAGACATTGTAAGAATTATGTTATGCTTATTAGTATTTCATTTCCTCAATTCAATAACATCCTTCTTCATAGAAAACAGGATCGTACAATCGAAACAAAAGTGATTAATTCAATAATAATAAACAACTTTTTTTCATTATTAAGGTAAAAAAATTAAATTCTCATTCATCTAAACTGAAATTTACAATTTCTCATTTTTTTTTAAAACTCTTTTTCTGAATATTCAATTATTGTTCTCTTATATTTTATATATATTTTAAAAAGAGAAATACTGTAACTACTGCTCTTAAACTTCCACTGTTTACTGTTATTCCACCATAAAAAGAAACAAAGTGCAAAAACAAAAAAGAAAATGAAATGAAAAAAAAACAAATATATAGAGATGAACATGCACA